CTCACTCACGCATGCCGAAGCGATGATCTGTGCATCGCTGTATCTGGATTTCTATCCCTCGTCACTGAAAAAAAAAAAAATTAAAGGATGAAAAAATTAAAAATTATTCAGAACGATTGTGTCTGTTGACAACTGTTCTGAAAAGGAATTCTCCACTGATGATTGGTATCACAGATTGATGCATTTTGAAATCATTAGGTTTTTTTGTTAATGAAAAGGAAATAAAGAGCTGACTTCTACTCAAACCTGGAAGAGCTGAAAATACACAATTTCAAGATGATTGTGAAAGAGGAAAAGAGCAGAATCCTGTTACAACCAGCCACTTTACAGGCTGATCTCCTGACCTCTGCCCGTGTGCACCGGTATTTTTCACATGATTCGTCCATACACTCAGCGAGGATTTACTGAGTCTCCTGCATGTTGACATTGATATAAACAAAGCACCTACACATTTTCGTATCTGCTTTTTAAGCTGAATGTGATAATACACGTTTTTGTCACTCACCTACTGGGAAATGTCAGCTTTTCACATATCATTTTACTAAAACATAAATGTGATGGAGATGTGGGGTTTTCAGCTTTTGCCTCCACAGACAACTCCTCTTTCCAAGGCAGTGCGACACAGCGACGGAGGTTTAGGTTCTGGGACTTGACAGATCCGAGCCCGAATTCTGGATTCCCACTCACCAGGAGACCTGGGGCAGAGTAACCTCTCAGAGCTTCCTTTTCTTCATCTGTGGAATGTCAATAATAAGAGCACTGTTCCTGTGGTTGTTTTGAGGATCAAATGACAATACATATAGAATGTGTAAGACAATGTCTAGCACAAAGTCAGTAATGCCTGTGTTATTTGTGTGTGTGTCTGTTATCAGCCAGGGAAATTTCTTTTATTCTTTCCTGTTCATCTCACATCTTTCTCCGCGTTATCAAACTTTTCCTCATCTTTCAACTGGAGATTCTCTTTCCTTCCATCTTCCTTCCAAACATTGCATTTGTGTCATTCTTACAGCACTGGACACTTTATGCTTTGCTCTCAAGGTATCCGCACCTTTCTCTTACGCACATCGCCAGGTCACCAACTCCTCAACAATCTCTCACTGACTCTCATCCCTACTGGGGTGCCCAGCATAGTCTTGCACATGAAATAGATGCTCAATAAATATTTACTAAAACTGGAAAAATTGTGGACTGTGACTACATGGTACAGGTAGAAAAACAGTGATACAGGCACATGATGATTTTTTGATTAAAATTATTTCAACTTTCAGTTGATTTTGGTTGCCAATTCAAAATGATCCGTTCTTTGGCAAATCAGTCACAACTGAATTAGAGGCTGTTTTCCTGGACCACAGCCTACCTCGTTTTGGATAATTTCACTACTTTTCCTTTTTAATTCTTTGGACCATTTGCAACTTTTTATGCAGGATAAGTTTATGTTTCTCTTAGAAGAGGAACTATGTCATCTGGCCCTGTAAGAACTATTTTGGTTCCCCAAATTAATAAAATTTTTCTTTGATTCTCCAAACAAATAAATGTTTCCCAAAATCTTTTCCTGACATTCTGGCTGACTAGTTATCACTCATATCTTTGCTAAACTTAGTTATGCTACGGTGTTTGCATAAAGCATCAGATTTCTTATTGCAGATGACTCTCCCCTCTTGACAAGTACCTGCAGTATCTATAATGGTGTTAATTAAACTCATGAAATAGTTTTAATGTATCTTTTCTGTATCAATATGACAGAACTAAGATGAAAAATGACTTAAAGCTCTTTAAGTGTGGCTCAAATCCCAAAACTTTGCTGCAAATCAACATGTTCACCGTAAGTAACAAAATCACACAATAATTTAAGAGCATGAGGCAATCTGATTGGCCTCCAGCCATTAGTTTATAAACTTATCAACATGATTCCATTCTTATCTCTTAATTGATGACCATGAATAATGAGTGTAAAGTGAGACTCTAATTACATTAGTCATGGTTATCCTTGATGAACAAATACATGCAAAAAATCATTGCACTACAGAGATGCACATTAATACGATCGGCCGTGTAATTACAGTGCAGTCATTCAGGGCCCTTCTGTGGTCAATGTGTGACATAGACACATCACTAGAAAAAATTTAATTCAGATTTTTGTCAGGATCCACGAAACTCTGTGTACATTATTACAGAAAAGCTAATTAAAATGTGAGCCCTTTGGAAAACTTGCAACTCACCTACCTCCCAAATTAAAATAAAAGCAGCTCAATTAGAGAAAAGTAATAACAAATGATTATTTCTGTTTCTCAAACCGCTAAACATCTTTCACAGCTTATCTTGTGATTGCCTCAGACTTTATAAACTTCGTTTTATTAAGTGAACCCATTATAGTGAAGAATGAAGTTATCGCACTGACAATAACACACTAATCTCGTGTGCTTGCTCACACGTAATTATTCTCAGCCATTTCACCTGCGTTATCTTATTTGAAATCAATTTTTGCCTAACGTGTCAGCCCCCACTGGCATGCAAACAGCCTCGGACCATAGTGTCTGTCATTTGGGTCCTTGTAATTTCTCCGCATCCCAAGTAAACTCTCGGTTCCAAAC